CATCACATTAATGCAGAGGCTATCAGTAAGATCATGAATACGGCACAAAACACTGTTGTTGGAAAGTGGCACAGCATCAATTTTTTTACACAACTCACATAAAATACATGACAGTATTTATTTAGCACATGGCTTGATTAGTGATACCCCAATTGTGTGTGTTTTTCTGGCAAGTGCTATGTGATAACTCACTCTATAAGAAGAATCTGTGGCTTTTTTAATTTAGCAGATGCTAACAAACTGTTTGGCGATATTTTTTGGTAAAGTAAGCATTGTGCTTCAGGACAATCTTCATTTCTGACACTCGTGAATCCAAACGACAAGTAACGGTCGTCATATGTTCGGATTTTTGTTTGAGAAGTAAATTGGCTAGCATTGTGTGCTTTCTTCTTTTTCTTCAACTTGTCACTTGTCTCTGCTAGTTGAAAAACAGTAGATCCAACTTTTTTCAGGCCTGTTTTCTTCATTTCTTATTGTACCTTTTTTTCTCAGTTTCTATAAATGCTGAACAATTAGAAGTAGTAATTTTTCTCTTGATAGTGTCTTCTTTTACCAGCTGTCCAAATTCATGGTTGTTGGTTGGTACAAAGAACACTTCTCTAACCTGGAAAAATAAAAATTTTACTACATGACTGTTAAGGGTGCTTTTTTGATCTCGGCTCTGAATAAGCAAGAAAGTAAGCAGGATTTTGGCTCAGTCTTGGAGTAAAAAGAACACTTCTCTAACCTGAAAAAAATAGAGATTTCCCTACCTGACACTTTTAAACAGCACAGTCTGACTCTAAAAATAATTTAAAAAAACAACAACTTATCTTCAGATGTTACATTGGGCGTTAATCTAAGGGCAGCACAATAAAACAAATAATTTCCTTCCGATGTGAAGTCAAATCGGGCACAATACTGATTGAAAAATAACTGTCTTGTATCAATGCTCGCAAACCAAGCAAGTCTGAAATTGGAGAAAGCGGGCAGGAATAAGGTCTCGGTCTCGCAATCTCTGCGGTTTCCGACTTACAGGACCAGTGGGGAGCAGAGGCCATGTTGGATGTAGCAAAATCGCTGCGGAAACCCAGGTCTCCGCGGAACACCAATTAGGAAACACTGCTTTAGACGCCAATTAAACTGTGTTCATTTTAGGTTACTTACAACTGATCTGATAAGATGTCACTTTTTATCAGGATTCTACTGTGCCTACTATAGATTGCAATACTCCACTAGTATATTTATTTGCAAATACTCTAATTCCTAATTACTGCTTGCTGGGAGACATCTAGGATTACATGTGTAAATATAGAATATACAAGATTAGATCAATTTACCCAGGATTTTAAAGTTAGTTCACTACATTTGCAGATATTTAACAGTGCCACTCATGAGGATAAAACCTCTTACTTTCCTTGAGAGCGCCCCTTTAAATATATGTGTTGCGATTTGTAACTTTTGGATTTTCTTCTTTTTCTAACCATTAATAAGTAGTCATCACATGAACTACTCAGCAAGCAGAATTATATGATGGATGGGAACTTTTAACTGCTTTATTTACTTGGGTGGATCGCCTACTTTGGGAGATCGAGGATTCAAAATATGGACCACAGATAATAGCAAAGTTTCAGATGGGGCTTGCAACTTCGCTATTATTTATGGTCCATATTTTCAATCCTAAGCAGTTATTTTGGCATGCTTGCCTTTCCTTCCACCTAGTATTACAGATGCATTTGAGAACAGATGGTAGCAGACTGGTAGGAGATTGATTGCAATTACTCTAGTGATAGGCATGTCCTCGACTGCTGTAGGCATACTTATGGGCACATTTAGCATTGAGAGGGCTTTCCTGCATTCTGAGTTATTAAGACTTTGTTGTCCCTTCTTTCACTGATAACAAATTAAGGCACATTGTTTTGGTGCCGAAACGTGCGTTGGGCATTTTGTTCCTTTCTTTTTTTAATAAGTCTTCATTTTCTGTTGTGCATATTGTAACAAAAGAGCTTGCATAGCCACAACAGCAGGAGCAAGTACATTCAGGTCAACAGTTTAAGACAATATTTGTCAGAAACTTTGTCTATTCCACTTTGATTTATTTTATATTCCTTTTACTAACGTGCAACGCAACCCTAGTCACCACTTGTTTTAATATATTATTTTTCTTAGCCCTAAAAGTTGTATGTGGTCTTGGCGAACTATACAACACTATGACTCTATAATGATATGTCTCACACATCCTGTTTTCTTAAACAGACTAGCTTATCCTAGGTACCGCAGTTCCCCCCCTCTTGACCGCACATTTAGTACGCCTCACTAATCCTAGCATTCAGTTGCACTACAATCCATAGCCAGTGTAAGGCTCTACTATATTTCATTTTTCATGAATTCAACTTCTCATTAAGACTATCTCGCTCATATATTATAAAAATGTGTGAAGTGTAATTACACTGTGCCTCAAAATTACTATGTCAATTTATTGAATTGTGTTTTTCTGCTGTCGTGGCAATGCATATATGTCTGTTTATTGATTGCACAAAAATAAAGAATATATAAAAAAAACAAATTAAAATATCAAATGCATTGTATGTTGTATTTGTTGTATGGTGCCCAGAGTGTCCCTTTAAATATTACTTCCTAGTACACCAACAGCAGAGATCATTAACATGAGCGCTCACATACTGACACAGAAATGCATTTGTACATGCAAAATATTCTAAGAGCAATAGAGAAACAATGCACGCTATATACAAATCCCCTTGAGATACCACTCCTCTCATTTTCCAATAGAGAGTGACCAGACACTCGTGTCTCTTTCTACAAATATAGCAGAGAAATGTATCTCAACATCCCATAAACAACTGGCTTATATTTCTTAAAATACAAACATCAATAACAAATACTTCTTACCGCTAACACAATTACAGTGGAGATGGTTGCCTCATCTTTCAATATAATATAAATATCAATAACACATACCTATCACCTACTAATGCAATTACAGTTTTGACATTTGACTCATCTCTCTTAATATAAAAACATCAATACCATATCATTCACATTCTAACAAAACACTGAGGAAAGACTGTTTTTTCTCATCTCATTACACTAATCGATATAGACGCTTCCCTTATCTCTGCTAATATACAGATACACACACACCCTTTGCTCTCTAATAATATAACAAAGTCATTCATCCTTTGTACTTACTAATAAACAGAAACCGAGGCAAAACAGCTCTAGCCACATGCGTCACAATCAAATTCCAAACCTGATCCCTTTTATAAAGATACACCAAGCACCTTAACCACTACAGTTTAGTGCAGTGGCTATGGTGTAAGCAGTTCATGGATGATACCCTAGCACAGACATAGGCAACCTTCGGAACTCCAGATGTTTTGGACTACACCTCCCATGATGCTTTGCCAGCATTATGGATGTAAGAGAATTATAGGGGATGTAGATCACAACATCTGGAGAGCCGAAGGTTGTCTATCCCTGTCCTAGAATTTTGTTTCAAACTGTTTTCGCAGAATTATAAAAAACTTGGATTCCTAAAATGGGTTGAGATTAGCATCTTATATTTGATAATTTGTGTGTTTTCAGTCTTCTTGATTTTTATTTAATTTTTAGTTTCATTCTGAGTAAAAACCTGGCTTATCGCCTTTTCTGTGTTATCAGATTGCATGGTCTCCTGAGTCATGGGAAACATTCTTGTCAGAATATAGAACTGAATGCTGCAGAGAAATGCCAAAATGACATTCCACACAAGAAAATTGATGAGGTTCATACACCCTACAACAAGGGATATTTATCAAGACAAATGCTATTCTCTAGCCAAGAAACTAAATAAGTGATCAATGACCATGGCAACCAATGGAATGTATATGATCATTTGGGACTTTGCACCCAAAATAGCATCTATTTTACCTTGATTTATCTCCCTCAGCATGTTCATCTCTCAAAACGGTAACTGGGTTTATTTAACCGCTCAAATGGGCAGTTTTGTTTTCAAACTCAGGGAATAAGTCTATATAGCAAAAAACAAAACAGCTATTAGGTTCAGAGGATACAGCCAGTCATTCTTATTACATACCTTCGAATATTTCAAAAGGACAAAGGGGGACACTTTAATTTTAGGGGTGTGGGCAGGGGCCGGCTAGTCACCTAAAATGTCTCAAAATGTTTTGAGACATTCTAGGTGACTTTTTAACAACAATTTGTGGAATTAAAATGTAATTTAGAACAAGAAAATTTATTTAAATTATACAGACTGATTTCTACATGCATTTATTGTAGTTTGAAGGCACATTACTTGGACTTAAATGAGCACTGTGGGCACTTAAACGAATTCAACTTCTTGAAGTTGTTATAGTGCTGTCAGTGCTGGCCACCCTACAGTAACAGCAAAGTAGTCTAGGCACTCAAGGTCTTCATACATCAGCAGATTTATTGGAAAAACATGACAGATACTCATCAAGCTTGATAAAGATCCCTGAAGGTATTGAAACATTGCAGTATCTGTCATGTTTTTCCAATAAATCTGCTGATGTATGAAGACCTTGAGTGCCTGGACTACTTTGCTGTTACTATATGGATTAGGGGTTTGCCGGCCCTAGATACAGGTCTACAAGTGATGAGAGTGCTGATCCCTCCTATTTTTTGCAATCAGTGCTGGTCACCCTGTTCTATCCCTCAATACCCTTTATTAATAGAAGGTTTGGAAGCGCAGCTTCAAGCCACAACTCCAAGACATCTGGGTGAGAGAGCTGGGGATGTGCATTGTGGCACGCCTCAAGGACGACTTAACTCGAGGAGGTTGCGGCAATGCCGAGGGAGATACGATGCAGGAAAATAAGTTATTGATTCTTTTTCCCCTTTTAATTAAAACATTTTTAACACGTTGGTGGCCTATATGACAAGGTGCTTCAGGACTGTAGCTTCAGGAATATAGATATGTATCCCTAATGCAACGGCATTCTTTTAAATCTGTGGAGCTCTGTTACACAATCAAACATACCAACAATATGAAGCTCCGAGAAAAGAGGGACAATGTGATAGAAAAAAGGGATATAGTGATTTGAGACAAAAAATAGGGACTGTCCATCCTAAATAGAGACACTTGGGAGGTATGCTCATCATTATGCATAATGGTATAAATGGGATAACACTGACATGAAACATAAGCAGATAGTAGCAAGCATGAGGATCATAAAATAAAGACGTGTCTTCATTTTGTTATGATTACGTCAAATCAATCTGGGTGTGAAAGATTTCATGCTCAGAATGTATTTGCTGAAAATTATCAAACAACCGTGAAAATCAGCACTGCAGGCTAGGATTTGAACTGATATATGTAATTATGTCTGGCTTTTTTAGAACATGTGCTTAATATCTTAATGCAGGTCCATCTGTCATAACATACACGCAGTGCCGAGGGAGAAAGATTGCAAATATTACCGTAAACCGGAAAGAATCAGCTAGAATAGGTAAATACCTATTAGTGTTTCCAACACCTGCTACAGCGTCACTTTAAAATAGTATAGGATCTGGAATATGTACAAAGCACAGATTTTAAACAAACTTGGGAGCGAATGTATCTAGAAGGATGCACATTTGCAAATTATAATTCACTTCCTTGTAGTCAAGCGAATGATAATTTTAACTAGTATTCGCCAGCCATCAGCACTAGCAGATAAGTGATAACATAGTTAAAAAGGGGGTTAGAGTTAGTTTTGGTCACATTAAAAATATTAATACAATTTTAAAAAGCCTACGTGTATTATATTAGTATAAGGGAGCTGTAAAACTTCCCTTATGCTCCCACCCAACAGGTGTTTGACTAAACAGTGACAGCATCTGCTCACTGTAATTAAATATAAAGACCAGCAATTCTCATCTATCATGAGGTTTAGGTGGGAATTCAGGGACAAGGGACCTGTGACAAGTATCTCCACAGTAATTTACACGACACATCTTCTCAACTGCTCTTCTAGGTAAGGTCTGGACACTGGACTGCCAGATGTCATCCCCTCTGCCTACTCCTTTTTTCATATAATTACCAATTTGGATTCTGCACTGTCCTGGATCCCAGGATCTGAGGTTGGCCAATCCTCACAATGTGATTTGCAAAAAAGTAATGATAGCCTAGGCACTCAAGTTCAATCAGCTAATCCAATCAGCTTGACAAAGGCCATCCCTGGTGTGGGCCGAAACGTTGTTTTGATTCTGCTCCAATAAATCTGCCCACTGGATTGAACTTGAGTGCCTGGAACATCATTACTTTTTTACTCCTTTTTTTTCATGGAAGATACGGTCTCCTCTGTCAAACATCTACGGAGTACAATTTTTGGCTCACAGGTCCAGCTACATCAATATGACTCTACACAATGATGGAGAAAGGCAGAGGAATGCAAACACTAACATTAAAAGCATCCAAATATGCCTGGCCTAAAACGGTCGCACTATGTAAATGTATGTAGATTCACTAGTTTAAATCTCCACAGCATCTATTAGAGAGATTCATTAAACATGGTGACACCATCACAAATTACAGTTACAAGTATCTTCCTCCAACACATTGTGTAGCTGGTACTACACATCACAAAGCCCATGTAAGAGTCAGGTGGCTTAGGCTTCCTGGGCAGTCTCTCTGAATTCATCATAAAGCACACGAGCTAAGCTCTCCAGTTTCATCCCCTATCTTAACTTATTTCAAATCCACATTCCCTTACCTCTAAAGCAACATATGTTTAATAATTGATATCAGCTCTGAAGCACATGGACATTTTAGAAACCCTATAGACACCAGACGTCTTCAGCTCAATAAAGTGGTATGGGTGCCATGTCCCAGTCTTATTCCTGCAGCTGAAAACATTGCTGTTTTGCAGAAACGACAATGTTTCCATTGCAGGGTTAACCTGCCTCTAGTGGTAGCAATATGACAGCCACAAGAGGCGCTACTTTGAAATATAGTAAAAACTCTGCTAGTTCTGTCAAACGATTTCAGAGAGATCATCTAATTAGTGCAGCACAGTGTTTTTCCTGTGCATGCCCACTAGCCTACCAATGCTTTCCTATCGAGATCACTGGAGGAGACTGGCACAGTAAGGGAGAAAATGTAAGTAAACTTATCTTTTAACCCTGGCAGTGCTGGCCTGGTCACCTAGGGTACCTAGTAGGGCGCTGTAGCATTAGAAATCCATAGTTGTGTCCCTTTAATCTGATCTTAACTTTAAACTAAAACAACAAATCATCTTGATGTAGTGTAATCAAGGATAACTTGTAAACTTGAAAATTCCTGTAACACTATAGCCTAAACAAATTATACAAAATACAAATAAATACAATTACCAATTTGTTGAAAGATAATGAAAAGTACAAGATTAAAGGCAAAATTCATTGTAAACCTTGCAGAACTTTTTTTTCCCCCGAGGAAGGCACAGATTTATATTTGAAATGTCAACAAAGCATATTTCCTATTGTAATCCAAGTTGTGTTGCTGTATCATTTCCATGTGTTCAATGTAATTCCAGAAATATATTGTACATTTATTATTTCATTATTTCTGGTGGGTTTGAAATGAAAACACAAAATAAAGAATACATATATTACATCCAGCATTGTTACAATGTCACCAAAGATATAAGATAAGAATACCGAGAACCCTTATTTGATGTAAATCTTGTATTTACTGGCTGTCACTTTCCATAAAATATCTGAGGGGGATCTTTAGATATTCACTTAAAAAATAACTGCTTCAATAAGACTTTCAGGATTGTATTAACCTTCTGAGCAAGAGAATATTACAATTCCAATCTGCAAAACCAGATTGTGATGATAATCAAGGAAAACTGGGACGGTGTATATTTAGACACAAAATCCCTATGTTCACATAGTATCTTCTATAGCAACACAGTTTGCACACAAAAAAATTATATAAATAATTCTAAATATATTTCTGTTATTTTTTTAGTTTTTTATTTTGTGTGCAAACTGTATTGCAATAGAAGAATATATATAGAATTATATAAAATATTAATACTATGTGTGAGGAAAATACATTGATACAAGACCAAAGCTTTTTACACCCAATTCCTGTTACTTGTATAGAGTGTGAATATTCGCTTATATAATTCATACACGTGTATAAACACATGACAAACGACAATTTATGCATATTTGTTATAGGAAAAGATTACTTGCCAAACAATTTATGGTAGTTATTTAGGAAAATTATCTGTTTAAAACATATGCTATTTCCAGAACCTGGCCTGACTTATTTATAACGGCCAGGCAGGCGCTGCCAGCATGAATTTGCTGACTCCAATATGTTGGTAAAAAGGGACGCTGGATCTGGAAGTAGACCGTGTGTTGTCTTAGTGGATGAATTTGTCATTGCACTTTGGGTTGCTCAGGAGGCATTTGCACAGAGGACAAGAATGCATCTTTGCGTTTGAAAAGCTCTGAGGTGGTTTAATGGTATGGCTGGACATATGGAATGGGCCAATGCTTTGTAACACAGTTACAAAGCAGGAAAGGTAGTTTTGGGACATGGCATGAAAACATATATTCTGAAAAGAAAACAAAACAAATAATATCACATAATATCACAAGTGCTGTTACTGTGGAAACACCTGCTAGATCCAATGCCAAGTACAACCTTGTACACAGTCTGTCCCACACACAGCATGTTTAGAAAATAGGCACAGAAGAGCAACTAAGTATTTTATTTTGGGGGTGACTTTGCACAGAGGTTAGTTCTGACTTTAGCATCGTTACCAGTATATAGTCACAGCTCTGAGTGTTAGTATCTTTCTTGGCCCTCTCTATGTTGTCAATAAATATTGGAAGGGAGTGGGGTGCCTCCTTACAGGAAGGGTGTATATGGTCCAAAGCTTGCAACACAGTGTACAATGAAAAGTAACACAGGTTTGAAAAATACCTCAGTGAGGTCTAAACATTGTCCCTTTTATTTTTAGAAAATCCAATATACAATTGCTGTATTTTCATCTGGACGAGCTGGGCTAACTTACATTTTACAGTAAATATATGCAAACATACAGTGAAAAATTCTAAATAATAGTGTTTAGAAAGAGCTTGAAAATATTTACACCAAAAAAGATTAGCGACTCAAAAACACTCATGTACCGTGCAATATCTACAAGTTACTACTCAAGCCATATACTAGTTACTACCATGTTCTGATGCTTACGTTGCAACATTGACCAGCCTAACTTGACTAACTCTATGTATCGAGTAATCGCTTAACAACATATTGTGCCGAATTGATCAATGCTGAAACCTTATAGCTTTGTCTCTCTGTAAGTAATGTATGAATATACTCACAACACGAATGTTAAATGTGATTATCCTGAAAAATAATAAAAAAAACTTAAAGATAAAAAAAAAATACCATAATGAGTAAACTCACACTTCCACTGATCAATGTCCTATATATCACTCTGTACTTATATTGCATTGTATACTATTATCTACTATCAATGTTAAATTAATATCATTGCTAAATACTTTGGGCACTGTAACACGCTGTGCCTACGCCTCATACGGTATCACTGTATCTTTTCAACTATTACAGGACATATCTGCACTGTTAAAATATACGTTTAAACCATTGTATGCATTACCTATGTTTGAAAAATAATAAAAATTTTAAATAAAAAAAAAAAAAAAACACTCATGTAAGGTAACTTTACTTCCCTCCCAAATTGTCAACAGTATAAAACAATCAAATAATAAAAAATATAAGTACAACACCTATAAAATTATATTATAAGGACATAACCTATAAAAATTATAACACCTATAAAAATAGTAGAGCGCTAAACAGAAGAGGGATATCTTACCCACTTCTATTTGTAGTTAACAGGGAGTCAAAACCGCAACATATGAAAAATAAAAACAGAAAACAATATATAGTGCAGATATGGAATATGGAGTTGTGAGTATACTCAAATGAAGTGGAGCTTATTTTTGCCTTTCATGGTAGCACCCCACCTCTTTTCATACAGGACATTTCACTCTCAGGGGAAATAGAAATATGTCAACTAAAACCATATATAGGTGAGATGTTTGTTATGATCACCTTAATTAGAGCCCCTCAAATCCCTGGCTCGGTGTCAATTTGTGGGATGACACTATTCCAACAGCAAACTTGGGACCTGGATACAAAGTGATGTCAACAGTTCTTGGATAACAGATTTATTAAATTATATAAATGTATAAAAGGAAATAAAAAGTGCATTTAACAGAACATCCGGTGAGTGAAAACCCTTCCTAAGGAGGACACAGGAAACAAGTAGCAAACCGAGAGAAGAAATACAAATTCAGGATAAACAAGTAGGAGGAGAAACACT